GGATTGAACCTTGGGACTTGCACATGGAAGGTGGATACTACATACCAGCCTATTCTTATATGACAAGCAAGGTAGTGAAGTGGTACAGGGCTTGTATTGCATGGCATGAGGAGCTGGGTTCTATTCCTCAGGTTCACATGCACAGGAAAACCTGGAAGTGGTGCTGTGGCTCAAGTGGTAGAATGCTACACTTTAGCAAAAGCAGCTCAGGGACAGCACCTGGCCTCTGAGGTCAAGCCTAAGGACCAGCAAAACAAAATGTCTGCTCATTTAGTCAATGCTTCCCCTGCAATTTAAAAGACAAACTTACAAGTGACTTTAGTTCACTTTCAATACTACTGTCCTCCTTTCCAGTGAGTGCAGGGGCCGCATACAGAAGAGACTCTATGCCTCTGCTGTCACTTGTAAACTGGCTGTTGTACAACAGTAAGCATCAACACATACATTTCTGTTCTTATTATCTTGAACACAATGGGCTTTGTGAAGGTAGGTAAAAATAAGTGAAGGAAACCTTTCCTTTTCACTTATTGGTTGTGATTGTAATGGATCTATCTTGCTGAGGACTTAAGTCTGACACTCTTGTCATTTGAGTTCTCTCTGAACTACTTTTCAATTTGTTTTCTTCTTAGGACACACACACACACACACACACACACACACATATCCTGAAGAATTTTAACTAGTTCATCAGATAATAGTTTTACTAACAATTCTTCTTGTCCACAGCAATTGTATCATCTACATAAGACAAGACAATTACATTAGGCCACTGGCTTAACTTGGCTAACAGGTCCCTGTGTGAACAGTCAGCCCTTCTGAAACCTGGGCACACTATGTCCCATGCTAGATTTGCCATGTGGTGCTGGTGGTGTACTGATGGGTAGCACAGGCCCTCTTCTGGGCTCCTCACTCCTGTTCCAAGGGGCTTGCCAGGTTTGCATATTGCATGAAGACTTTGGCACTGCACTCCTCTCCTCGGCTGGCTCCTCACCAATCTTTCCTTTCCTGTACCTTCCATTTTGAGTTCTGGCCTAGACTATGAGCCCAGACAACTTCCAACACACCTGATGAAGTCTCCACATCAAACTATTGGTAACAAACATTTAAGTTAGAATGCACATATAAAGATTTGGCTTGGTTTTGCATGACCCCATGGACAAGTGAAGAAAAGATGGTTAGCTGTGGATGCCCCAGGTAGTGATTTTCTCAAAGTACTGACAACTCTATAACAGGGACTTCATATAAGGAAGTTTCTGAACAAGAAAACTGAAAGAAAAAAATGTAAAAGAACCTCACAATTCATTGAGGAAACTGAAAAGAGAGGTAAGGGTAAGATGTTTCTCAAAGGAGCAGGAAAAATGTACACTTAATACTATGCTTATTATGGGAGGAAAATGACCTTGAGGTGGACAACAATAAAGATATAAGTGCTCAATGTAATGGAAGGAGGCCTTGGGTGGGACCTGAGGTTCTAGTGAAAATCCTATGATAGCCTTGTTCAGTACACACTGTGCTCAGTATCCCAGCTTCTGTCCCTTCCAGTCACTCTGAGATGCCTCATTCCAGGTTAACCTCAGGAAGAAAGAAGGATTCACCTAATATCCTGCTCTCTCATTGGGATCAAGATTGCTTGGGAACTGGAGGTTTTTGGTTAAATACTTAGATTCCTGGAGAGCAGACTCTTCAGGGTCATGACTTTGGGTCATATGAACTGCCCCTGCTGATGATATCACAATGTTCTGTAACATAGATATGACTATGTTTGTATACTTTATCCAGTAACATTCAATGAATGGCTATTGAAAATAATCTAATTTAGAGTTGAAATCTTTGAACAAAGGCAGAATTTTCTAAAGCCTAACTTTGGATATTGCTACAGGATTAACCTTGTGGTAGGACCTTTGACATTCTGAAAAACTATATAACTTAACCCACTCTTAGTGATTAGGTCTAGGGTGGATATGTACCCAAGTCATGGTTCACCACTTCTCTTCTCAGGACATAGGAGCTTTTAGAATGAGCTGAAACTAAAAATGTGTGTTTGTGTGTGTGTGTGTGTGTTACAATTAGGAAGCCAAGGGCCTCCCAATCCCCCTATTTTTTTTAAGTAGGCCTCAGTAGATAAGCAGACAGGTGAACAGTGTGAGGGAAGGGGTTAAGCTAGCAACCTAGCTAAATCTGGCAATGTGAAGTCCACTGTCCTTATCTCGTAAATGGAACCCTGGCCAGGATTTAAGGATTCTCTTTGAAAAATAAATATAAATACCGAAATTGTTGAAGGGACAGGAAGCCGGAGGCGAAGCACTGAATGAAACCTCTTATTCCCAGAGAGAAATTTCTTCAGAAAAGCCCACAGGGCTCATGCTTTGATTCCTAGCTTTTATGGAGGCCAAGAGGAGAGAATCTCCTTTGAAGCCAGGTATGACTGGCTTCAACTCAGCTCCTGAGTTCAACACCTCATATTGGCACAAAAACATTTCTTCATGAAAGTGTGAAAATAGAGCTCTTCATGTAACCAAACAGCTCTGGACATATCTAGAATGACTGGCATTTATAGGATCTGGAGTCTTGGTCTTGGTTTACTAATTAAGCACTTTCTGATGTAACAGATATTTTTTCTAAATGCCTCCAGGATATCTTTAATTACATAACTATACAGTGGCATCTATCTTGGTTCTAGAAATTCTAATGTTAGGTCAACCTTTGTGTTTCTGTAAAAGAAGACAGTATAGTTGTTGGAAGACACATTTGGGAACATGGAAAACTGGAGTCTTTATTACACAGGTAGCAGTCTGCAAGCAGCCTGAGGTAACAAAGACTTGTAGTCCACAAATACACTTAGACAGCATGGAATCAGGACAGAAAGGAAAAAAAAGAATAAAAACAACACTAAGAAACCAATCAGCAAAATAAGGATACAGGTGGAACCATTTCAACAATGAGAAGTACACGTTGTCATGTCAAAAACGAACTTAACAACTTTGGTAGGGGGTGGTGGAGGATTGGGTGAGGGGGCAGAAGGCTGGGAAGGGATGGAAGTGGAAACAAAGGAGGAGGCTACAATGCTTGATAAGAAATTTACTCATTATCTTGCCCATGTAAATGTAACCCCTCTATACAGTATTTTTACAATAAAAAATAAATTAAAAAACCCAATACAGTGAAAATCTAAAAAAAAAAAGAAAAAAAAAAAGCAATCAGCACAAGAGAGTGCTGAATTGACACACTATGATGACCAGAGACAAGCCAGGAGACAGGACACAGGACATGATCACAGAGACATGCACCATGGCATCTAGTGCCACTGCTGGTCCAGCCTAAATAGGGCCTAAGCAGGAGTCAGCTCCACAGGAAATTCCAGTTCCAGGCACTGGACTAACAGATTGAGTAACATATCAGCCAAATGCTCACCCCTGCTTCCAGGGAACCAGCCACACCCATCAGTTGGGTGGCAAGTGATGGATGGGGGAATTTCCTTCCCCCTGCATGAAGACAAGATGCCAGACCCCACCATCCACCATGTGGCCAATAGGGCACCAGCCACACCTGACCTCATTACTTAATATTACTGAATTAGTAAATCAATTTATAAATTGTTACATCCTCTTTATCATTTTGTAAACAGTTCAAGAATTTGCTTTTTGTAAAAGCCATTTTTCTTGAGCCCCACCTCTAAAAGAATAATTCTCACATTCACCAAAAATTAAATATTCTACTTTTAAAAAGTTTATTTCTTCCTTCTTCCTCATTCCTTTCCTTCCTCTTTCCCTCTCTCACTTCCCTCCTTCCCTTCCTTCCTTCCTTCCTTCTTTCTTTCCTTCCTTCCTTCTTTCCATCCTTCCATACTTCCTTCCTCTCAGGGCCTAGAAGTGATTCTGTAGCTCAAGTGGCAGATGGTTTTATTTTTTTGTTAACTTCAATTTTTGTGAGGTTTGACTTCGAGGTGAAAGACTTTCCACACATGTTAATTTCATAAGGTTTCTCTCCTGTGTGAATTCTCTGAGGGAAAGCAAGGCGTGTCTTCTGGCTGAAACAGGTGTCACATTGTTTATATTCCTCAACTACAGGAGAGACACTAGGACTATATGCAGCACACATCTTACTAGGATCACTGGAGACACTCATGTTCTGACACCAGTGACCATTTCTGTCCTCATCCCAAAGGATTTTCCATTATACTTAATCAGTTCTGACTTCTGTATGGAACTCAAATTAAAAGTTTTGATAAATCTCAATTTTTCCTCCCCTGGGTTACTTTTCATGATTGCTACTTCAGAGAGATATTCATTGTGACTTTCCTGACAGGTGATAATCATATCCTCCATTTCTTAGACATCTAAAATGTTAGAGAAAAATGGACAAAAACATAAATGAGATCCATAAATTCCTTAATGTAAAGGTATTTTCTCCCATTCTGTTTCAATATTCTCAAATGTCAAAGCATTTTTATGCAGAATATATACTTTTTTTTCACAATGTAGTAATTAAGAAAGTAGTACTGATGTTTCACAATGGAAAAATATGTTTTCCTGTATTTCAAATTTTTCTATTTTTATCAAGGAAATATTTACTGAAGTTATTCAGCGACACACTCTTAAAGCTACGATTCTGTATTCCACTCCATGGCCAGCAACACTGATAAGAAATTGTCCTTATCAGAGGATAGTAGCCCTAGCATACTCCTATTTTCCTCCTACCTGCATAGTACTAGTTTAAAAGAAAATGATTTCTCCTTTTGTACATTTCTCATTGTCATTTTCTCTTTTAGAATGACTTTTCTAAAGACAAAAAGAATTACTAACATTAACAATACTGGCACACCAAATTCAGTTTCTGTCCATGAGAATAATGGATTGACAATTCCTTGAGACAAAGGATCACCTAGATCTCTGGCACACATGACTCAGGGGCACTAGGAATACTATTGCTTGGTACACCTCAAGATAAACATACCAACTGGCTCTGGATCCAACATCACCATTCAACATGCTTTATCTTACCAGTGAAATACTTGTCTGAGGCTTCACTTATCCATGGTTCTGTACCTTGCTCCAGCTTGACAATCAATTTAGGTTTATGAACACAGTGCCCTGTGATTAAGAAATAGTGGAGAACTATTGCTCTTGCTACGTCATTTTTGCTGTAAGGTTTCAGACATCCTGTTCACAGGATTGCTCCAAAATCTGGTTTCTCAATTAACAGCTCCATGGTGGAGTTTCTGCCAGCTTTGGGTTTATTTTGCCAATTGTGTGGCTTGAACTCAGCTCTTTTGCTCAAAGCTAGCATGCTACTAGCTAGCATGCTACTAGTTTGAGCCTTGGTTACAGTTCTAGTTTTTGAATGGTTAATTGGAGATAAGAGTCTCATGGTCATTTTTCTGCAGTTGCTGGCTTCAAACGAAAATCTTCAATTTCAGCCTCGGGAGTATCTAGGATTCCAAGCTTGAAGCACTGCACCCTATATCAGGTTTGGCTTACAAATACACACTTTTAACTACTGATTTCCAGATCATACTGTCAGTAGTAATGTATATTTTATCTGGACTGTAGATCCACCTATAATAATCACTCCAACTCTGGGAAGTCAGTCTTCTATTAGTGGAACATAGTTTAGAACTTTTGTCCAACTACTGATTTGCCTTCTTAAAGAATAAGAATAAAATTAGCTCTTGAGGTACATATAATCAAGTTGAAGTTTCCCTTAGAAAGAAATGACACTTCCGATGAACTGGAATGTTATCCCTAAATAACATAAATAGTCTAATGTCTACTAAAATAAAAGCACTTGATCTTCCAAGTAAAAATGACCTTTGCTCACCCAAGGACATGAGGTTGCTATAAGTCTCCAGCATTACATCTCTATGAAGGGTCCTCTGACCAGGATCCAGATCCTGCCACTCCTTCCAGGTGAAGTCCACAGCCACATCATCAAATGACATCAGCTTCTGTATTGGCACATTTCCATCAAGAAATTAGACCTGGGTTATGAGAATTCCAACCTGGAATTTCATTATGCTGCAGGTATGCTTTTGTCTTACATAAAATGTTTGCAGCTTGCTGTGTTATCTATTCACTGGAAGAATTAAATAGCAAATTAGAAATTCTGGAAAATATATAAACCTAGTCACTAAACAACAAAGATCTGCAGTGCCCTGGTGGCTTATGACTGTAATCCTAGCTACTCAGGAGGCTGAGTTCTGAGGAATGTGGCTCAAAGCCAGCCCATTCAGAAATGTCGGTGAGACCCTTATCTCCAATAAACCAACAGAAAACTAAAAGTAGCACTGTCACTCAAGTGGTAGAGCACTCATCTTGACCTGAAGAGCTGAGGGACAACAGCCAACCCCAGAATTTAAGCCCCAAGACCATTAAAAAATTACAGTTTCCCTAATGCATGCAAACACATTTCTGCTGCTAGCAATAGAGACAAGATCACAATTCTAAGGAGATAATAATCTACCATGACAACATTAATTCTAATGAGGTGTTTGAAAGATGATATTATCATATTTTGATAAACTTTTAGTACTTATCAGTTTGAAAATGAATTAAACAAATACTTTTCCTGCATTTACATATTCTCCATCAATATAAACCCTATTTAGATCTTCTATTAACAAGTGCTCTCAAAAGCAAACAGAATACATTCAGGACCTCACATGGTATACATAACATAGCACATTAGTAGGTCTATGACAGCACAGTGTCCCCATGAATGTTAAAAACAATAACACTACTCCAGAAAGTAGTTGATGATTTATTTGGTCCTTATAAGATGTGATTTAGTTTCCACATAAAAATATCCTAATTAACCATTTCTTGTTTAAATACTAAATATTGAAATGTGGTCATAGATACCCTGGTATTTCCTTCCTACATAAAAAAGAACTGCTACCACGAAGTTTTGTATACCCTGCCTACATTCTACAATAATAAATATAGGTGGGAGGGGAATAAAATATTCCTTTACAAGATTTTCATTTCAATAGGCCTTCATGGAAGGTGGAGGCAGATGTATAGAGGTTCAAGGAACATTCAAGATGACAAAAATGATAAAGATGAGCAAATGATCAAAAGCGGCACATATTCCTGAGTTATTTCTCCACTAGATCCCTAAGGATATATTTCCACTTGTGTTAGTTAATAGCGAAATTCCTCAGAGATCAAAATCAATTACTGAGCAAACATCTCTGAGATTTTGCAACAAGTGATATTTCTAATAGAGAACACCTGTCACTGTATTTTTTTTTTTATATCAAAACCAGTTCCTATCTTACACTGGCAGTGAATGAAAATATTCAAAAGTCGTGGGATGGAAAAACAAAACCATACTACATCAAATGAACTTAGACAAAAAATATCACAATCAGGAGAATCACATTTTCTTGTAGTATATCAATTGGGGGAAGGACGTACTTTTCTGTAAGGAACTCTGACGTTGAGCTGAAGGGGGAAAAGGTTTGAGAGGTTGGAACTCCAGCCCGAGAGCACTGAGAGCCCTGAGAGCACTGAGAGCTGGCAGCTGAAGGCTTAAAAGAGAATTCTGGAGAGGGTTAAGAGATCAGATTACAGGCCTTTTCCTTAGTTTTGGAAAGATAGCAGCTGAAACTGAGATGCTGTTGACCTTGAAGGCTAGGTAAGGTGAACTTCATGTCTGCATTTTCTCTGGGCAGCAGTCTTCTGTCTCAGGAGAATAAGGAAACATGTATCCCTCACAAACTGTTGTGGGTCTGATTGTAAAATAAATGTAGATACTTCATTTTAGCATGTTATCAAGGGGAACCTTCCCTGTGTGAACTCAAGCAACTATGCTTGCTTGCTGGCACCCAGGGACCAAGTGTCAGAGAGCCTCCAGACCTCTGGTTTCACCTAAGTCTGTTTATGTTTTTGTGTTTCTCTAATTTTCTTTGTTTCTGGAATCCTCGAGAACTCTCTTGGCAAAAAATTTTCCTATACAATGGGTAGGGAAAATGTCAAACATAAAAGTACTGTGTTTTCACAAGAAAAAAAAGAACCACATCAGCAAATTAAAACTGATCACTAAGAAAAACCAGTTCCCAGATAGGTGATTTCAAGAAAAGAAACAACTGAGAGACATATGGAAGAAAGAGGGAATGAGGAAAGTAAGAAAAAATTAATAGAGATACAAAGAGAGAGTAAGAGAAAAATAATCAAAACTAGTGAGTAGAAAATCAAGAATAAAGAGAGAAAATAGAGGGAAAAAAATCTTGTGAGTGTACTTTAGAAAATACACAGAAATTAGTAGAAAGACCTAAAGTTCAGCATAAAGTACAGCCTAAGTTTCAAGTAAGACCAAGACCATGACGTAGTCCAACAAGTACATATGGAGAGTAATTTAAGTACATATAGGTAAATGATTCCTTCAGAATACACGAAAGTGAGTGTGACCACACTATTTCAGCAATTCCAGGAAAATTTTGTTGAGATAGTTTAATGTTACTAATGAGGATGTGATCTGGTTCAAATCTATCCTACACCTTCATGAGATGTAACCTCCTCCGTGTCATTACATCACATAACAAGTTTGACTACATTTTCTCTTTTTTTTTTATTTTTTATTGTGAAAATACTGTACGGAGGGGTTACAATTAGATGGGCAAGATAATGAGTACATTTCTTATCAAGCCTTGTAGCCTCTCCTTTGCTTCCCCTTCCCATCCCTTCCCATCCTCCCCCAGGCCCCACCCCCAATCCTCCCCACCCCCCTCACCAAAGTTGTAAAGTTCGTTTTTGACATGACGACTTGTAATTCTCATTGTTGCAACGGGTCCACCTGTATCTTTAAACGACTTGTTTTTCACCTTCTCCTCCACAAATTATACCGATATCAAATATAGCTAAAGCAGGGATTATACTGTGGGAGAGGGACATACAAAGCAACAAAGAAATAATCTTATAAATGCATTAGAAAGAAATGCATGAAAGAAAAAAAAACATTTAAATACATAGCTAAGGGTTCATTTTCCCAACATCACATTATCTGACCTTTTCTGCTTGACTCATACATATACTTGATATTGCAAATAATAGGTCCCATGGTTTCCCTTATTCACATTTGTAATACTTTTAAGATTATTCCACTGTGTGTGTCCTATGAACTTGGATCCATGAATACTTGGTAAAGGACTTTCCAAAATTGTTATATTTGTATTTTCTCACCCATGCCTGTTCTCTGATGCAAACTGAGTTAGGACTTTTTCTTGAAAACCTTTCCATTTATTTTTCCTACATAGGATTTCTCTCCTCTATGTGTGTGAGGGTGTGTGTGTGTCTGTGTGTCTGTGTGTTTTGTGTGTTCTGTGATGAACCCTGAGCTGTGTCTTGTAGTTCGAGGACTCCACATCTGCTATATCATATGGTCTCTATCCTGTATTGGTTCTGTATTGCAATTTCAATATTCTTACAGATCAAAGACTTTCCCATTTGGTACAATCCTAAGTTATTTCATTTGTGTGAATCAACTTATGTGTGTTAAGCTGTGATCTCCAGGTCTTTCCACACTGGTTGCATTCATAAGGTTTCTCTCCTTATGTTCTGTGATGGATGTTAAGTTGTGCCTTCCAGGTGAAAGAATTTCCATGCCTGCTATATACATAACATTTCTCTCTGGTGGGTTTTTTTCTGATGGACAGAAAGGTGTATGTTCTGGGTGAAAGACTTTCCACATAGCTTGCATTCATAAAATTTCTCTCCTGTGTGTGCTCTCTGGTGGACAGTATCATATAGTTCTTGACTGAATTACTTTCCACACATATGACATTCATAAGGTTGCTTTCCTCTGTGTTTTCTGATGGACAGTAAGTTGTGACTTCTGGGTGAAAGACTTTCCACACATGTTACATTCATAAGGTTTCTCGCCTGTGTGTCTTCTCTGGTGGACAGTAAGGTTTGACTTCTTGGTGAAAGAATTTCCACACATGTTACATTCAAAAGGTTTCTCACCTGTGTGTCTTCTCTGGTGGACAGTGAGAGTTGACTTCTGGGTGAAAGACTTTCCACAAAAGTTACATTCATAAGGTTTTCTTCCTGTGTGTGTTCTCTGGTGGTCAGTAAGATATGTCTTGCAGGTGAAAGACTTTCCACAAATGTTACATTCAAAAGGTTTCTCTTCTGTGTGTGTTCTCTGGTGGACAGTGAGGCTTGACTTCCAGGTAAAAGACTTTCCACAAATGTTACATTCATTAGGTTTCTTTCCTGTGTGTGTTCTCTGGTGGAGAGTAAGGTTTGACTTCGAGGTAAAAGACATTTCACACATGTTGCATTCAAAAGGTTTCTCATTTGTGTGTCTTCTCTGGTGGACAGTAGGATACTAGTGAAAATCTCTCCACACATTTTACTTTCATACGGTTTCTCCCCTGTGTGTGTTCTCTGAGGGACAATAGGGTATGTCTTCTCAGTGAAAGACCTTTTACATTGTTTATATTCTTCAACTACAGAAGACACAGGAGGACTATATACAGCACACATCTTACCAGGTTCACTGAAAACACCCATGTTCTGACACCCAGTGACCTTTTCTGTCCTCATCCCTAAAGAGTTCCCATTATTCTTAATCAGTTCTGACTTCTGTTTTGAGCTCAAATTAAAACTTCTTATAAGTCTCACTTTTTCCTCCCCTGGGTTACTATTCATGACTGCTACTTCAGAGAGATATTTATTGTGACTTTCCTGACAGGTGCTAATCACATCCTCCATTTCTTGGACATCTAAAGTGCATAACAGTAAAATAGACAAAAACATAAATGAGATCCATAAATTCCTTACTGTAAAGGTATTTTCTCACATTTTAATTCTTACAACATTTTCAAATATCAAAGCATTGTTTTATGCAGAATATAAACTTTTCTCTGCAACTTACTAACTATGAATGTAGTACTGACATTTTACAATGGAAAATAATGTTTTTCTGTATTTCAGATTTTTCTAGGAAATATTTACTGAAATTATTCTTCAACAAACTCTTAATGCTTCCATTCTGAACGTCACTCTATGCCCAGCACAACTCATAAGCTATTGTCCTGATGAGAGAATAGCAGCACTACCATTCTCCTATTTTCCTCCTACCTGCATAATACTAGTTTAAAAGAAAATGGGATCTCCTTTTGTACATTTCTTATTGTCGTTTTCTCTTTATGAATGACTTCTCTACAGACAAAGAGAATTGCAAACATTAAATACACTGGCACACCAAATGCAGTTTGCCTCCATGTGAATTCTGGATTGAGAATTCCTTGAGACAAAGGATCACCTAGTTCTCTTCCATACATGACTCAGGGGCACTAGGAATACTATCGCTCTGTACAGCTCAAGATAAACAGACCAACTGGGCTCTGGACCCATCTTCACCATTCAAGATGCTTTAACTCACCTGTAAAATTCTTGTCTGAGGCTTCTATTATCCATGGATCTTCACCTTGCTCCAGCATCATGATCAATTTAGGTTTAGGAACACAGTGCCCTGTGGTTAAGAAATTGTGAAGAATTATTGCTCTTGCTGGGTCATCATTAATGTAAGGTCGCAGTCATCCTGTTCACAAGGTTACTCCTAAATCTGGTTTCTCAATTGTTTTTTGGGGGGTGGGGATCCAGTTGTGGGGCCTGAACTCTGGGCCTAGGCGCTGTCTGGCAGATCTTCAGCTCAAGGCTAGCACTGTATCACATGAGCCATATCGCCAATTCCGGCTTTTTTTACCACTGCTTATGTGGTGCTGAGGAATAGAACACAGGGCCTCATGCATGGAAGGCAATTCCTCTACCACTGAGCCACCTTCCCAGTCCATGGTTTCTCAATTCTTAACAGCTCCTTGGTGGAGCAGCATCCAGCTTTGGGTTTATTTTGCCAACTGTGTGGCTTGAACTCAGCTCTTTTGCCAAAAGCAAGCATTCTACTAGTTTGAATCTTGGCTACATTTCTAGTTTTTGAATGGTTAATTGGAGATAAGAGTCTCATGGTCATTTTTCTCCAGCTGCTGGTTTCAAATTGAAACCTTTAGATGTCAGACTCCGGAGTATCTAGGATTCGTAGCTTGAAGCACTAAACCCTGTATCAGGTTTGGCTTACAAATACACACTTTCACCTACTGATTTCTAGAGCATACTGTCAGTAGTAATGTATGCTCTATTCTAGACTGTAGATCTACCTATAATAATTACCCAAGTCTTGGAAGTCAGTCTCCTATTAGTGGATCATAGCTTAGAACTTTTGTCCAACTACTAATTTGCCTTCTTAAAAAACGAGAATAAAATTAGCTCTTGTGTTACATATAATGAAGTTGAAGTTTCCCTTAGAAAACAATGACACTTCCCATGGTCTGGAATCTTTTTTTTTTTTTTTACAAAATGTAATGGTCCAAAGGCTTACACCTGTAATCCTACAGTTAGGAGGTGAGATCAGAAGAGGTAGGCTTTAAACCAACCTGGGCATGTAAACACAGAATATACCGCAAAACAAAAGTGAAAATAGAATTGTGGCTCAAGCACTAGTGTGAAAGACATACAAGACCATGCTCTCAGACTCAAATTAGACTGGCTTTTTTACTAGCAGTTTTTTACCTGAGAATGGACTGGATCTTCTCCCTAAATAACATAAATAGTCTAATGTCTACTAAAATAAAAGCACTTGATCTTCCAAGTAAAAATAACCTTTGCTCACCCAAGGACATGAGGTTGCTATAGGTCTCCAGCATTACATCTCTATGAAGGGTCCTCTGACCAGGATCCAGATCCTGCCACTCCTTCCAGGTGAATTTCACAGCCACATCATCAAATGACACCAGCTTCTGTAATGGCACGTTTCCATCAAGAAATTAAACCTGGGTTATGAGAATTCCAACTTGGAATTTCATTATGGTGCAGGTATGCTTTTTTCTTACATAAAATGTTTGCAGCTAGCTTTATTATTTATTCACTGGGAGAATTCAACACCAAACTAGAAATATTTGACAATACATAAACCTGGTCATTAAAATACACAGATTTGCAGGGCAATGGTGGCTTATGCCTGTAATCCTAGCTATTCAGGGGGCTGAGGTCTGAGGATCAAGGTTCAAGGACAGCCCAGGCAGGAAAGTCCATGACACACTTATCTCCATTAAACCACCAGAAAATGAAAGTAGCACTGTCACTCAAGTGGTAGCACTCACCTTAACCTGAAGAGCTGTGGGAATACAACCAGACCCAGAATTCAAGCCCCAAGACCAATAAAAAATTACAGTTTCCATAATGCATGCAAACACATTTCTGTTGCTAGCAATAGAGACAAGATAAAAACTCTAAGGCGACAATAATCTGGCATGATAACATTAAGTGTAAGGAAGTGGCTGAAAAATTATATTATCATTTTTGATAAAATTTCAGTACATACCAGGGTAAAAATGAATTAAAGTAATATTTTTCCTTCATTTACACATACTGCTTCACCATAAATCCTATTTAGACCTTCCATTAACAAGTACTCAAAAAGCAAGCAGCACACATTCAGGATATCACATGGAATACAGAACATAGGAAATTGCTAGATCTATGAAAAGCAGTCTCCACATGGATGTTCAAAAAACAGTAACAGTACTCCAGAAAGTAACTAATGATTGATTAGGCCCTTATACAATTTAATTGAGTTCCCACATGAAAATATCTGTGGTTCACCATGTTTGGTTTAAATACTAAATATTGAAATGTGGTCATGGATACCCTGATATTTCCTTCCTATGTAAAAAACAACTGCTACCATGAAATTTTGTAAACTTTGCCTACATTCTACAATACAAAATATGGTGGAGGGAAAAAATGTTCCTTGACAAGGTTTTCATTTGAATAGGCCTTCATTGAAGGTGAAGGCAAATATCGAGAGGCTCAAGGAACACTCAAGATGACAAAAATGATCAATATGACCAAATGCTCAAATGCATCACATATTCCTCAGTCCTTTCTCCAGTAGATCTTTAAGGATGTATTTTCACTCGTGTTAGTTAATAGTGAAATACCACAGAGATCAAAAACAATTAGTGAGCAAACACCTGTGAAATTTTGTGACAAGTGATATATTTCTAATAGAATACATCTCATCACTGTATGATTTTTTTTTCAACACTAGTTCCAATCTTATACTGGCAGTGAATTTAAATATTCAACAGTAGTGGGATGGAAAAAAAAAACTGAATACCACATCAAATGAAGTTAGACCAACACAAAATCAGGAGAAAACAGATTTTCTTGTAGTCTATCAATTGGTAGAAGGAAGTGCTTTTCTGTAGGGAACTCTGAAGTTGAGCTGAAGGGAAAAAGGTTTGAGAGGTTGGAATTCCAGCCTGACAGCACTGAGAGAACTGAGAGCTGGCTGCAGAAGGGTTAAAAGAGAATTCTGGAGTGGGTTAAGAGACTGGAGTGCAGGCCTTTTCCTAACAATTGGAAAGATAGCATCTGAAACTGAGGTGCTGTTGACCTTGAAGACTAGGTAAGGTGAACTCCATGTCTGCATTTTCTCTGGGCGACAATCTTCTGTGTCAGGAGAATAAGGAAACATGTTTTCCTCACAACCTGTTGTGGATCTGATTGTACTATTAATATAGATACTTCATTTTTGCATGTTATCAATGGTAATCTTCCCTGTATGCACTCAAGAAACTCTGCTAGCTTGCTGGCACCCAGGGACAAAGTGCCAGAGAGCCTTTGGAACCCTGGTTTCCCTAAGTCTATCTGTTTATATTTTTGTGTTTCTCTAATTTTTTTGTTTCTGGAATCCTATAGAACTCTCTAGGCAACAATTTTCCTATACAGTGGGTAAGAAAACTGTAAATCCTAAGAGCCATGTCTGCAAAGTAAAACTAATCACTAAGAAAAACTAGTTCCCAGATAGATCATTGAAGAAAAGAAAAAACTGAGAGACATATGGAGGAAAGAGAGAATGAGAAAAGTAAGAAAAAAATGATTCAAAGATAGATACAAAGAGAGGGAAAGAGAGAAATAACCAACACAAGTGAGTATATGACCAAAAGTAGAGAGAGATTGAGGAAAGAAATCTTGTGAGAATACTTTAGAAAATAATCAAGATTTCGTAAAAAGACCATAAACTTTAGCACCAAATATAGCCTAAGCTTCAAGTAAGACCAAGACCATGAAGCAGTCCAAGAAGTATATAGGGAGAGTAATTTAAGTACATATAGGTTAATCATTCCTTAAGAACACACGAAGGTGCGTATGACCACACTATTTCAGCAATTCCAGCAAAATTTCATTGAGATAGTATAATGTTACTCGTGAGAACGAGAGCTGGTTGCAATCTACCCTTCACCTTCCATGAGATGTAACCTGATCGGTGTCACTACATCACAAAGCAGGTATGACTACATGTTATGACAAGATGAAACCTAGATATTCTGAAGCCAATTTGAATTCAACTTAGAAAGAATATAACCATTTAATCTGCCAAACCTACAAGCAATCTTTATCTGCTAATTTACAAGCCTTCTTTATCTGATTTATGGATATGTTCCTGAGGCTGAATCTGTGTGGATGGTATTGTTTGTAATTCTTGGAAATCTTTAGGTTCATATAATGGAATGGAAAACAAATGAAAAATAAAAAAATCAACTCACCAAAGATCCACTCATTCTGTCTTGCTGCTGACAATGAGAAGATTCTGGAAGCATGGCTGGGATATAAGGGAAATGACACATTCAGAAATGAATATGTGAGATTTTGGCCCCAGAATTTCCTCTTGCAAACATGATACATGGACGGGAAAACCGTAAAGCCTTCTCTTTTTATAAATTTTTATTTATTTATTATTGTGATAACGTTAAGCCTTCTTACAAGTGAAGAATCTGTAATGTCTCAGGCAGAGCATTAAAGTGTCCAATAAGCACAAATCCAGTCCATTTCCCGATAGATAGATATTATTAAACCAACTAATTTCTCTGTTTATGTACACATTAATTTCAAAAAAATCAATGTTCCCACTGAAATTATTGAATAATTGCAAAAACATATCATATTTCCACTAAAAGTACCTATTACTGAATATACTTCGGGATGTATGAACTCCTTTTTTTTCCCTTTTTTTGCCAGTCCTGGTGTTTGAACTCTGGGCGTGGGCGCTGTCCCTCAGCTCTTCAGCTCAAGGCTCATGCTCTACCACTTGAGCCACAGCACCACTTCCAGCATTTTCTGCTTATGTAGTACTGAGGAATCGAACCCAGGGCCTCATGCTTGCAAGGCAAGAACTCTACCACTGAGCCACCTTTCCAGCCCATGCAATGCTTTTTTAATGCAAAAGTTTCCTAGGAATCCATTGGATTTTTTGTTCTACCTCATTCATTTACATATTTAAATACCATGGAAAGCATGTATGATGTAACTCAGTAATTTTCACCCAAAGTTAGAGAGAAAAATGTATATAGAATATATTTCTTATGATATACTATTTCAATAATGGGTGTCAAATGGCACATTTCAATCTAACCATTGCACGCTTATGCATTGATTAGCAATTTGCCATTTAAAATGCTTTGTCCAAACGGACATGAGTAAAGATGAGGTAAACCCAGGTTGGAGAAGTCCCTAACGTTCATTTCCCTAAACAGTCATGCGAAGAACCTTGGCCATCATAAAGATACAACATAAAATAATCGATATAGGCGTGACACACCTGAAGATAAGTAACACCTACAGAGCATACAATCTTGAGTAAAACATATTACCTCAAGTTTTCTTCTGTGAATTTTCTTTTTAGGCCACATGTCCCAGACCAACACTTTCTGTACTACCAGGCACAACCAATTGATTAGAGCTAGCATTAGCAAATCCATAGATGGCACACTTAATGTAAGTTTGCATGATGACATACTAAAAATCATTGTTAACAGGCTGAATAATTTAGCAAGAAGAGGATTAGGGATTACAACATGAATAGATACTTTCAGTCATAACAATAATTCCAACATCCCAAACCACAGCCGCAGATATCCTTTGATAACTATGCTCTGGCTTATTCCTCAATCCAGCTCATCACGCCTCCTAGAAATTAGTTTAAATCTTGCAACAACACAAAGTGATTGAGAGTGGTGTAGGAAAGAGTACCACGTGAATCTGGTGCTCAGGGAAGTAGCAACAATTTTTGCATAAAGCAAAGGAAGCTAGCAACATCTTCCCCTTCCTGTGCTTTTCTGTTTTTCCCTTTAGGGCTTCTCAGAATTGACAGGGTCTGTCCATTTATGATGGAGATTCCTATTCATAGGGTGCTCTGCTTTAAACATTGCTAGGCTTCATTCCTAAAAATAGGACCAATATCCAATATCCCATGTACAACTGTCTCTAGAAACAGAGTCGAATACAAACACATGTGAAATCAAGCCAGGAGATTAAAAACTCAAGCCAAACAGATTAAAATATCTCTAGGAGAAACAACACAGAAGCAATAAATTCAACTTCAATGTAAGAAGACTCAAGGCAGTCACACACCTCACAATTTCACTAGAATTCTTCCTCTACTCCTCTTAAACCTAGGCAAAGCAAATAAAGTCATATGGGTTAATAGAAGAATCCCTTGGTCTTGGAGGACAAATGCACAGCTCTTGGGCTCTCCTCATCTGCAGAATCACCCAGCTTGCTCTCAGATATTTGGGAACCAGGTTCTTGCACCTCAGGGCCCAGAGCCTAATGACAGCACAAACTCCTGAACCTCAAGCAAAT